CTTCCCAGTTCTGTGATGCTCGAGCTCAGATGACATCTTCAAGCATCAGGTGTACAAGGTTCAGGGTAGATACGAAGTGCATCCAGTATAAATTATTAGAGGGGGGAAAAGCAAAGCAATGGGGATATTTAATGGAAAGTTACATTCACATAAGACTTTTGATTTGTTTGTTTTGTTGGGTGTTTTAGAGGTGCTTTCTTATTGCTTCTAAGTGATAAAATAAAAAGAAAATAATCAAACTCCACATTTTTTCCTGAGACTCTTAAAAAGAATACCCTAGAAAAAGTGAAGACCTTGAAATGGAGTTCGTCCCAAGAAAATTGAAGACAAAACAGTGGGAAGTTTTAAAAACTAAAAAAAAAAAAAAAAAAAAAAAAAAAAAAAAAAAAAAAAAAAAAAAAAAAAAAAAAAAAAAAAAAAAAAAAAAAAAAAAAAAAAAAAAAAAAAAAAAAAAAAAAAAAAAAAAAAAAAAAAGGCACAAAACAAAAAATCCAGACTATTTTAATAGGATAATTAATAAAAGAAATTATACATTTCTTTACAAAGTCATTTTTTCATTTAAATAATACTGATGAGAGTACGTGAGCTCTTGTTTAGAAAATGCGAGTTAACATTGAAGGATTTAACGGCCCTAGGGAGAGGTTAAAGCTCTTAAAAGTTCATTTCCAGGTTTCCTAATACCTGGGGGATTTTAAATGCTGTAATTTCTTTCTAAAGTAATAAAAATTGTTCAAGGGAAATTATTCTCAGGTGTTAAACTTCACAAAAAATATGCTACCTATATTCCCATTCCTTACGTGAAAAAAACCCACATCATTTTGTATGGGTAGGTTAGACAGATGTAACTGTAAGTTACAGACTCTTGGCTTCTTATTACATGTGCATACTCAAGGGAAAAACAACATTGGCATACAATACTAACTTTTATTGTCTATATCTCTGTGACCTACCTTTTATTCTCCCTCCCCAACTTTTGCAGCAGGTTCGTAATTTGAGGATACGTGATACTTAGTTCATTATTTGTGAGCTACAAAGAGCTTTCATTTGGCAGAAAAAGGAAAGTGAGTACCAAAAGCAAAAGAAGCGTATTAATCATGTTCTCAAAAAAAATTATTAAAAGCTTGAAGGGAAACTGCCAATTTCTTATTTTATTTTTTAACATCACACTCGTCTTTGCTAATTACTAGATTAGTTTAAGAAACATTTAAACTATTACTATCATCAAATGCAGTTTCAGAGAAATGAAAATGCTTTGTGAACTTACAGGAACTGCATATAAATTTGTCTGGAGGGAAAAAAGGGAAAGAAATCCTTCAATGTCTGCAGATCAAAATGCGTCTTCTCCCTTCTAAGCAACATTTTGTTTGGAATTTATTTTACTTCAGTTCATATAATCCATTCAAAGGGAACTTTATCTTTTTTTTTTTTTAACTGAGTTTCCTTCACACAAGGGCTCGAAAAATTTCAGATGTCATCCCTAATGGAAATGAAACAAATTTACATCCAAAAAATGAGGTTTGCATTCCCCATGCATGCCTATTATTTAACCTTTGGAAACCTGAGAGTGAAAGTGCTTTCCTTTTAATTACAGATGTTCTGCTTTTAGCAGCACTGTCCCAGTGTCTTTGACTTTGTCCTGGTTTCAGTGCGTATCTAGGTGCTCATCTTATCCAACTAATTTTGGCTTCCCTGTATCTGCAGCATCACTTTGCTGCACACTGACCAACAGCTACTCTTTTGCCCTGGTCCTTTACACCTATTGTCCAAGTTTGGACTTGCTCCCCGACAAAATACCAAGGAAACTACTGCTGCAGCAGCATGGCCCAAGCATGGAGCAATCACAGCAACCTTTAGCATTGAAAGAGAGAGAAACATATCTTGGAAGCCTTACAGAAAAAAAAAAATAAAGGGGAGAGGGATTTATGAATTGGGGATGAAAAGGCGGAGAAAACATTATCGCTTTGGTATAAATGGGAAAAAGGAAGAAGGTAGTGGAGGGAATAACAGAAAAGTCAGCTCCATGCTGTGTGAAAAACAGGAAGGAGAATCTGGCCTAGAACAGGTCAGATTTTAGATTTCCGGTTAGTTTCATGCAGCTTTTATACAAATTTTATTACTGGCACAGCCCAGCTTAACAGATCATTCTTTCCTACCGTTTTATTTCCATCAGTATGCTGACGCATACTGCATGTATCCCTGTGTGGGCAAGCCCTGGAGAAAACAGCAAGGGACAGAGAGACAGAGAAGAATGATTTTCACCTGGGAAAACATAACCATCCTCTTCTTCCAGTATTTTTCCTGTGCTGCCTGTGCACCCCTGTGTTACTATAAAGCTTCACAGAACGTGAAATAATGTGACTGTGGAGAAACAGTGAGGCACAGTTCCAGCAGAAATGATGGTCACCAGCTGTGCTATAAGAGAACCCAAGGCATTTTCTGCTCTTACCTTTTCTGCATTTATTATCACCAAGTTGACTTTTTTCTGTTATTTTAAACCAAATAGTCTATCATTCCAAAATGGATCAGTCAGCCAAATGGCATGGTCATTTTCCAGGTAAGAAGCTAAACCTTTTCCAACACAGTAAGTTTTCTAAATCTGAATAACAATTCACACTTCTCTTGAGATACCTATAAATGTACATTTGTTAATGCTATTTCTTTTTTTTTTTTTTTGGGGGGGGGTGGGGGGGGACTGCTCCTTTACCTCCTAGTTCTGGGCAGAAGTGATTTCAGGTAATATTGAAAATATAATGAAGAAAAGCCTAGTCCAGATTGCCAGTCTCAGGAATGCAAACACAAGACATTGGTTTGTGTGTTATCTGAACTGAAATTTGGTTTGCAGCCTTGAAGGTTTACTTTCACCATCAGTTTCCTAACATAGAGCATCCTCATACGATGGAATTTTTGCTGTCAAAACAACTGGGGAGAAAAAAGACATTATTTTAAACATTGGAATGGGTGCAAATATGCTCACTGGTCAAAAGTGCATCACAGTCCTCTGGACAATACAAACTAATGCTTAAAATCAGGTAATAAAAAAGTAATGTCGTTGCAGCAACATCAGGCAAACTGAAGAGACCAGTAAGCTTCCACAAGTAAAGTTTTTCGACCACAAAAACCCAGTATTGGTACTGGTGCACATTTCTCTCCTCTCCATTTCATCTATTTTGGATTAAACACAGATCATCAGTGATCAGTGCTCTTCCCTTTCTTATCACAGGTCCAGGTGAGATGATGCTATTACCCTAATGCTTTTCAAGGTGTCAGCACCAAAACAAGGAAGAGGTGCTTCCTCACAGGGACAAAACAGCATGAGCACTCTTCTATCTTGCCCCAGAGCTACAGGCCCTGCTCCTCTGAGAGGAGCTAAGGGGGGGGCTATTGGATCCCCTCAGCTATCACTCCTAGACCACCTAGTCCCCACAAAATGACTGCTATAGTTCACTCTGTTAGGCATCACTGCTTATCAGGGACTAAAGGAACTTAACTGGCTATGACACAACTCTCACTCGGCAAAGTGGTCTCTCCAGAGCTCGAGTGAGGCACATCATGTGTCTGTACTTCACCATTTTCCTGGAACTGAACCCAGATCACAGTGTGCACACAGATCATCTGGTCATTTTCTTCTTATGCCAAATTAGGCAGAAATTAAATGTAACACTCTGTAACAGCTAAGCAGGTGGAATTAGAGACATGAACACTGAGTAAAGCAGCAAAAACATATGCAAATACCTCTAAATCTATTTTTCAGAGAAAAAAGGCAAAACATGGGGAAAACAAAAATACATAAACATTATCTCCAAAATATAATCAAATGCAATATTAAAGAATATGAGTGTGAAGAAAATGAATCAGGGAAACTAGATGTCACATTTTCAGCAACATACCTGCACCTGCTATGTTACACCTAGAGCAGGATTCATGGTATTTAACTTGAGGCATCACGAACAAGTTGAGGTACAGCCTTCTTCAGTAAACAGTGGGGAGACACAGGACTGTCCCACGAGCATTTCACTGCACCCTGAGGTGGGTGGGTGAATTGTCCTTAGGTGGTGCCTCCTTCACCACTGATGCCTAGATCTCTAGCTGGTGGGTAGCAAACTTCCAGAGGCATGTTAACTGAGATAAGGCCAGCTTATAGTGCATATTATACAATATTTCTGGGTTTACATACAAAAGAAAATAAAATTCAGGCTTGAAATCCTCTTTTTTTTTCTTTTCCCTGCTCTTTTGTGTCTCAATTTACCAGTTGCATGGTACATTACATACCCTTTTTTACATGACCCAAATTTCCTTGCAGACACACTTACTAAACTCTCATTGAAGGTGAAACAGAATCTCACATACTACTCTGGGAAAGGTTGTTTGACTGAGGAGTTTTTTTGCATTAACCTCTAGAGAAGAGGGGCTTATCTGTCACACCAAGACATTAGTGGTTTGTAGCGTTCTTTAGGTTTGCATTGGCACTACTGATCACAAACACTCAGGGAGCATAACGAAGCTGTAAGTGCAGATCTGAACCTGTGAAATGCTGAGCAAGTTCAATCACAGCTGACTGCTGTGGGCGTTGAGGGGATGCTGAAAGAAGCAATCCATGCTTGCAGGATCAAACCTCAGCCACACAACTCATCTGCAAAGAATATGACTAAGAGTCACTAAAAGCAAAGCCTCTGTCTAGGCCCTCTGTGGAAAATGGATTGCTTAAGGACTTAGCGGGCTGACTTCAGTATTTTTAGCAGAATTTCTATGTATTTACTCTCTACCACATTTTAATTCAATTCATCAAATAAATATTATCCATTAAAGATTACACACCTGCGGAGCAGAAGCTGTAAAGGTCAGCCTTTTCAAATTATGTTTAAAAGAAACCTTGGCCTTTCCTAAAACTGCAGATCTTTGTACATAACCTGCTTCTCCTGTCTTCAAAATTAAAAAGGAAAAAAAAAAAAAAAGGGGGGGAAGCTTGATAAAACAGAAATCTCCATTCATAAGGCTTACACCTTCGAGCTCCCTGTGGGCTGCGTGCCAGCCAGAATGCAGCAAGCCAGTGGGGTACACAGGGCAGTGGCAGGAGATGCTGCCTTCCCAAGGAGAGACTAGAGACAGGTAGAAAGACAAACCTTTTCAAAGTTCAATAGGCCAGATTTCTCTTTGAATTACAGCAGGGTAAATTTGATCTAATCCTGCCAAAGGCAATGGAGTTATGCTGGATTTACACTGCGGGAATCTGAAATCAGAATTTTGCCTGCCATGTTCAAAGTCACCAGGACCTTTTCCCAGTGCCTAGGAGGTATTGTGTCAGTAACTCTTACGCTTTTTCAAAGAGGATGTAAAATGTCACCATAAGTGTGAAATGCAGCACTCAAGCAATGCTTCAGACCCTCTTTTGCACAGACATTGATAACCATGCAATGCAGCAGGCAGGAGAGCATCAAGATGCAGCATTGCTGTCTGATTGTCCTCCGAGGCAGAAAAGCTTTACTGTGGGTGGAATGTGGCTGCGTGACTTTAGCACATGTGCAACTATTCAAAGAGAGAGAGTAAAAAAGGCCCATGATTATTCAGTGACTATTTCATTTCAAAAGCTCATACGAGAAAACAACTACATATTAACTGTATGTTATTCGGCAACTGAACAGTTGTTCAAAGAGTGAGAAAACAATTTGTTATCACCTCCAATAGCCTGCACTGAATTATTTATTTGCAAGGTAAATAAAACAGAAAGTGCCTGGATTTCTCATCCCACCAGGTCTGTTTCTGAGGAAGAGCGACAATGGCCAGGTTAATTCCCAGTCTTCATTCAATTAGACCCAATTCTGCCTAGTTAAATGTCTCAGATTTGCTTAAAAACAACCTGTAAAAGAAAAAGGTTGTCAGGTTGTGTCCCTGCTTACTTCTTTGGAATGCGCAAAACATGGGTCAAGAGGATCTTCTCAATAAAAGGCTTGACTTTGACTCTGTCTGGCTTTGAGTCTGATGGGAAAAGGACAGCCAGCTTCTCTCATACATTTCCATGGCCCACAGTAGCCCAGAGGCCACTGTTAGCTACACCACCTGGCCAAACGCAAACTCGGGTGTGACTTGCTGGGTCCCCTGTTCCTCATAGGAGAAAGACTTGTAGCAGGTCCACCTGCACCTCATAGAGGCTCCACTAAGATAACAGTTATCAGCTGGTCAAAGATGCTACTCCCTCTACATCTTGCCCTGTTCAAAACCAGTAGAGAAAGGCTTGATTGCTGTAGTATTTCCTTGGTAGTAATTCCTTAGAAGACTGGCTATGGCCTGGGAAAACAGTACAATGTCAGTGATATGAAGGAATAAAGTAGTTCAGTGAAAAAAAAGAAATACTTAGCTGGACTGGTTCAGACTGGTTAGTTGCTTTAGCCAACATCTATTTAACTTCGGGAGCTAATGAACACTTCTGAGAGAGGATGGCTTTATTAAAGATTCAATTATATTCCAATTAAGATGTAAGAGCTGTATTAAATGTCCCTGAAAATACCACAATGTCCTCCAGCTACATGCAGGAAAAACCCAGGCCAAGATCCCTGGATCTACTAAGGTAAAACACAGGCAAAAATAAAACCTTTAAAAAGAATTACAATTGTCAGGGGCTCTTTACCCTCCCTAAGGAAGAACAAAAAGGGCCAATTCTTTTTCGGCTCTCTTCTACCTGCTCCTTTCCCTCCTCGCTTTTTCTCTGTTACAGATAATTCCACATGATTAATAGGCTCTTCTCAGTGGTGCTACACACAGTTAGCTCTTTTAATCTCTCTTTGAATCTGAAACTGTCTAATCCCTCAACCCTTTGGCCCTATGAGACAACACCTGAGGATCACAGAATAAGATATTTCTTTCTAAGTTTTGATCCACAGGTCTGCAACAGGAGGAAGTTCATTTAAATTTACCTTATCTGCCATGATCATAGAGGAGCCTCCATGGATGCCCAGGATGGGAGTGAGGGTCTGGGCAGAGATGAAGTCCAGGATCTGGGCAATGGCTTCCTGGTCTGTGTCATCAGCAAATACTACCCCTTGAATCTTCCGATCTGACATGAGGTCACAGATGCGGGTGATGATACTCTTGGGGTCTGTCTCATTCATGGCCACCAGCTCCACTCGAGGCACCACTGAGAGGTGGTGGAAGTCATCTTTCTCGTGGGCATCTTTGATGGCCACTTCGTCCGAGGTTCCCACCAGGATGACTGCAATGCCAATGCTCGGGTGGCTTTTCTGGGCACGGGCCCCGCTCCCTGTTGTTGCGAGGACTGCCAGCACCAGCCAAAACCTCGGAGAGTAGCACTCCACCCTGGGCCTCATCTTCGGCTCTTCGACTCCCTGAGTGAGGAAGAAAGAAAAGGGAAATGGGGAAAGGAAAAGAAAGTGATTAATTGACAAGTCAATCATGCATTCAGCCTTCAAGGCAGATCCATTGATCTTCCTCAGCCACTAGATCTCCTCCCAACAATCCTTCTTGTCTAATGCCTAGCCCTTTGGCTACATTCAGGGTTCTGTTGAAGCTGGGGGGGGAGCAGGGGTTGGGGAGGCAGTGTCAGACCAGTCCAGCCTCTACTTCAGACTTTGGAATCACTTAAGAGAACAGCTGTCAGCAGAAGATGGGATCATGTCATCTCTCAGGTCCCACGTCACACTGAGACCTAAGTCAAAAGTGATAGAGGATTGTCCTTTGACAGCTGATCGGCTGACTTTGTGAAATTAATTGCTTATGTCAAGCCCATGTCTGAGTGCTCACCCTCAACACAAAGGAATGACTGGTGCTTGCAATCAGTTTGGACTTGTGCTGGAGGTATAGGCAGGGAGACTGAGGAGACCAGGCAGATAAGGGCTCCCTTTTGCATCACAGTCCCTTCAGAATAAAGTGAGACAAATGGGCAAGGTCATTGGATGTATATGTATGCATGTTATGTGTGTATTCATTGCATACAACCTTCCTACCACCGCCAGAACATGCACAGCTCCAGTCTGCAGTACAGTCAGCTATATGCTTTCCATCAATAGAGGGTTCTTAAAAAAAAAAAAAAAAAAGCCAGGAATACAAAATTTCCCAGTGGTTGGGGCCAAAACTGGATCAATGCAGCGTAGAGAAGACATTCCCTCCAAGCCCATATAACAGCTATTTTTGCACAGAAGCAGAAATACCCACAGAGCTTACGATGGTTCACCCTCAGCTACTACAATCAGGTATGTTACATCGATCTTTTCCCTGAACACATCCACTTCATTTTGTAACAGTGGAAACAGAAAATCCTGATGAGGTCATCTCTCCAGCCCCTGCCTGAGCAGGACAGTTCCCAGAGGGATTGTTCCTAGCTCTTTCTTTATTTACTCTCATTTTAACTATAGTTTGCATTTCCACAGCACTTTTCATCCTCAAGGCACTTTACAAACACTAAAAAAATAATTTTTACAGCACCTATGCAGTGTAAATATCAGAACCCCAACCCTGGTCTGTGGACAACAGAGCAGTGTCCCCACATCCCACATGTGGGAGATAGCACTGCTTGGTATGCCCACCCTGGGCCATGTTCATGTCCCAAGGAAATTTCAGGCATTTCAAACTAAAGAAGATTTTTTCCCAGGGCAAAACGTCCTGCTCAGCCACTCATGCCCACAATTCTGTTCTTCAGCAGCCAGGCACGCTTCAAATAAATACACCAGCCCTGCACTTTTTTGCACTGCACTTCTGGTCTTGGGTGTCCAAGAACAGGATCCTTCCATACTGTTCGCTGCTACACACACCTCTATCACAGAAAGCCACATCAGAAAGCGGGAAGTCCACAAAACAGCCCTACCTGACACCAGCCATCGATAGGGAAAAGGCATGCCGGGCCCCATCTTGTCCTGCCCTGGAGAACACATAGGCTCAGCACCTGCTCCCTCATTGTCATGCTAAGCAGAGAGGATGTATCCTGCATTGATATTACCAGATAAATAAGCAGATAATAAAACAGATAATAAATATGCACCAGAGGAACCAAATCCACTTAAGAAGGCTGAAAGGGACCGCGGCTGTGAAGCACCGATCGATTCTAAACTCTCTGACGGATTCACTTTCTGAGAGATGCTCACAAGGAGAACCAAGAGACTTTGAGAGTTTGGCAAAATGAACAGTTAACTTCATTCCAGCATGACTGTTATCCTCCAATTACGAGTCACTAAATTAGATTCCTTCACAGTGAAATGCAGTCCCCATTCCTGCAATGCTTTATTAACTTTAATGCACTCTATACACTCTCTGTCTCTCAGTCTCTTGCTCACTCACTTTAATGCTATATTTGTTCTCTTAAAATATGCCTCCTGCATCGACTCATACAGTATATTACACTTGATTAGGCAATGGCTAGTTTGTGATGCCCAGGGAGGAAAGTGTAGGTTTTTCCCAGTCCCTCTCCCACTAGGAATATTTATCAGGGCCTTCCAACCCAGGGCTCAGATAGCATTCATGCAGAAGCTATACAGACAATCATGGCAGCTCTTAGCCTTCACACCCAAGCACAGCCTTCTCCCAGTGGGAAAACTGGCAGCCAAGAAATCCATTCCCTTCTCTTCACCTGCATCAAAGCCAATAAATCTCCAATAAACATCTACCTCCAAGCAGGATAAGAGAGTCCAGATCCTGAGGAGCACATAGGTGCCAATCTGTTGGGTATCTAGCTCATGCAGTGTGCCCTCCCTCAGGCAGTTTTTTCCATTCAACACATGATAGAGTTATCTGTACAGTGCCAGTTCCTAAGCTTTGGCCAGATACGCAGGCAGCAGCCAGGGCTAGGAAGAAGAGGAGGGTGTCTGTGTCTCTATAGCCAACCCAGCATTTCCAGTTTGGATCCTCATCTTTAACCCCGCACCTGGATCAGGCATAGCAATGCTTAGGTGGCCTGTGTTGTACCAACCAAGACATCTATCTCTCCCTCTCATGTAACACTACTGTCATGCTCTTAAATGTCTTTCAGGTGCTCCAGGGGCCATCCGTGTGCCACAGATCAGCATCCATCTGAGGGAATAGCAGACACTAGATCCAGGCTGGGCTCCCTTGTAGAATGGGACACAGGGATGTGATAAGGCAGGAGAATGTCAATAAATTACACACAACCCAGGGCTGAGTGGGGTTTCCACCATCCAGCTCCCATAAGGCAGCAGTAGGGTCACAGCATAGAGCTGAGCTGCTCAGAGACTGCAACAGGGGTGCTTATGGTGTTACAATCCCTTCTCACCTTGGGGCTGACTTCTGTTCACAAGCTACTCTGCACATGTCTGCTCACATTCAGGTGCTGGCTCTTAGAGAAAGGGACAAACATCCCAGCACTAACTTCATCTCACTTTCCTCCCCTGGTCTGGCTTACTACAAGCCCGTTTCGAATGTGTGCTAATAGAGGCAAGGCAAGGGCGAATGACCACAGACTTATTATCAGATTAAAGTGACCCTAGAATTATTCTGAAAATATGTTTCTGCATACACAGCAGCAAGTTTTGTCCATTTATTTCTGTGGTGTTCAAATGCAAATGTACAAGGCACCCAATCAAAGAAGCACTGCAGGCAGCACATGGACCTCCTCCTGAGTGGGTTCTTGTTCCCCGTGAAGAAGAGGAATGAAGAAATTCATAAGCACCTGACAAGGCTGCAGCTGTAAAACAGGACATTTACCCTTTGTGTTTCAAGCAACTTTAATAATTTTACAGTATTTCACCAGTCAATAATGATTATTAAAACAGGCAGGGATATTTTATTACGAAGTATCTTACATGAGCAGGATTTTCCCTTGCTGGTGCTGTGGGGCAACAGTGTTTGAAGTCTTTTCTATGATTTTGGCACTCCAAAACAATTTAGCAAATCCCAAACTCCAGACTGCTAAGTAAAATCCCTTACACAGTACTCCACACTATTATTTTGTCTCTCACTCCCTGGAAAATAATATATGGGAGGGCCATTAGATGAAGTGGTTTTACAGACATATCTATATTTAGGTATAAACATGCCAGTAAAACCATTATACCTCTATAATCTCATTTAATTTACCAGTAAAACATACGCACCATTGTAGAAGAATGCAGCATCTACTAACTGCAGAGCAATGTTACGCAATCATTTTCAAAATGGAAAGGGAAAGCTAACTTTCTCAATTGAAAATGCAAGAGGAATGTAGGTAGTCAGTAATTATTCAGATTGGAATTTCGCCAGGACCAAAGGTTAGATTGCTTAAAAATATCATGAGAACCTTATTTGACACTGCACTTTTATGTGGATCAGACCTAAGATAAGTATTATTAGAAAATTATTAGGCTGCACAGGCAAAATACAGCTCAGCATTAAGAGATATTTCTGGATGATATTTCAAAATACAGAAAGTCCACAAACCAGTCACTTTGCATTCAACCAGGCTAACTGTAAATAGACGACTACTCAGGCAGTGTACAGCACAGCCAGGCACTCTCCAAGTCAGGTAAAGAAACAGAGGCAGAATGTGGGCTGGTCACAAGATTTTGGGGGGCAGTTCTATTGTGTGCTGATGCTAGTACCTCCTGCTGCAATTTTGCCACCCAGGTAGCCTTGCACAATAGCCCCTAGGGAGCTGTCTGCAAGCTCAAGACAGCAAGAGGAAAGAAGTCTTAGAAGACTGCAGTCCCAGACAAAAAGCTGTCTTAAAGGCAGATTTTCTAATTAAGAGGAAGACAATGCTTGGGACAGGAGGCTGACCAGTGGCACTAGCCACCAGCAAAGGGAATTTTCCAGGCACATTGGCTCCATATAGAGAAAGAAAAGCATAACCTACCTCCAGCCTCCCCTTCCAATACTTCCCTGGAGGGCCTCAAGGAAGTTCCTCTCCCAGTGCTTTCTGGGTCCCATTGCTACCTAGAGATGTCCTGCCAGCCCCAGTGTTAGACACCAGGGTTACCATATCCTTTGGTATTTGTTCATATTTGACAGCATCTTAATTCACACTGTCTTCATTTTTCTGACAGTGTGAGAAGTATCAGACAATGAATCCAAACGCAATCCTTATGTTTCAGGGCCTTGTTGGGGGTAGGAAGAAATCCACTTTACCTGTGAAATAATCTACAAAGCTGGAAGGTGCTTTGTTCCCCATCAGGGAACAGTGAGTGCACTAGAAGCAGTTGCAGGGAAGTTAACGTTGACTAGATATGCTACTAGGCTGTCTGTCAAAGAAAAACAAGTATGTCCAGATCAAAGAAGAACACTATTTCTGTGTTTACCAATGGCAGATCTCTGTGTTTGCCAGTGAAAGAAGATTGGTGACTATTTGATCTTTTTGTCTATTACCTACCTTCTGGGCAAACTGCAGGAGCTAAGACCCATGCAA